CCCTATTGAAGTATGGATTGCCTGTATAGGCATGCATTCAAACGATGTATTATTTGTTACAAATTGTGAAGTTATATATTTTCTAAAATCGCGTTACCCATTCTGGGTTCAAAATATACACGATTGTCAGCGTCTTCTCTTCATGTTTATATTTAGCAACATTGAGGCGACGTTACCGTTGCACAAACGTACAGGGACTCCATGCTGCTGTCAAACCCAGCGGTTTCGAATGTGTGGTGCGACCTTCACATCGACGTCTCATCGGCGTAAGTGGCGGCCCCCTCTGAAAATTTGCGACAAATGCCCCAGTAGAGGATGGGGCTTTAGGCGATAGCAAACCAAGCGAAAGCTTAGAGCCCCAAGTATCTCAAGGGTTCCCAGATTCATGAACATATTGAATCGGTAAATGCAACGTCAGCTTGTGTTCAAGAGTGTACGTAACATACACAAATAACTAATTGACATGAACAGTGAATTAACTTCTCATTTCTGTCTTGCCTCTATCTGTCATCTATTATCGAAATACATATATCTGTCTCTTGGCCATACCTCTGTCATTTCACCACGTCTGTCGAATCTGCATCTCTCTACTCTAATCGGGTTTCATGCAAACGAATAAATACAGAACTAGGTGGGAGCCCATTTTGAGACATGAATCACATACGAGAGAAAATACAGCAATACACAAAACTGGTTGTATGTTTGTATGAATAGATGTATGTACGTACCTTCTTTCGCACCGTACGTAGCCAACCGTGCTAATCGGAGGGTTGGGAGACTGTAGACATTTCGCAGTGGCTACACCTGTTAGCTGAAGGCCAGATTGAGAAATACGCTAAGTGACAGCTTAGGCCCTCACATTCACGGGCCTCTAAATACGAAAAAAAAACCAAGAAGTGTAAAATTTCACGTAATTGGTTGAAAAGTAAAGGAGAGAAAGATTACTCGGTTACTTTCACTCCGATGACAAAAAAATATCCCAGCATTCCTCGATTTCCAGCGAAACGTCGCACAACAAAATTGTGAACATTTGCCTTTGATTTTCAGCGTTCCTGCTGTACCAGTTGTGGGCCTCTGCCACGCTGGTCAGTCCGGTTTTGTTGAAGGCGGGGGACCTGAGATCAGAGATGCTATCACTCTCCACTGATGTTAGCAATGGACCGGAATCAAACTCAAGATTCTGGGGTTCATTGTGCAGTTTGCAATCCACTGCGTCACACGTACAATTAACATAAATTGGCATGATAATTGTTTTTTAACCCTTCTATCTGGCAACAAAACTGAAACCTTTTTACAAGGAGTCATGTTTGCATAGACCGCAATACCTGCAGTCATAATACAAACAAAAGAACATAACTCTGATAATGTGCACTGTCCTTGAAGTTGATTGGTCCACACCCGAGACAGCTTTCCTTAGAGCCTAGTCTCACATGGGTTGGACCAGATGACGCCAAAAGGCGCACAACTCAAAGACAATGCACCATCAGAGTATGAGAGCTCGGGGCAAGCATCTACACTATGGGAACCTCATTTGCCAGTAAAAATATGATGATTGGTTTTTTACCCTTCTATCTGGCAACAAAACTGACACCTTTTTAGAAGGAGTCATGTTTGCATAGACCGCAATACCTGCAGTCATAATACAAACAAAAGAACATAACTCTGATAATGTGCACTGTCCTTGAAGTTGACTCCTTGTTAAAAGGGGTCAGTGTTGTTGCCAGATAGAAGGGTAAAAAACCAATTATCATATTTTTACTGGCAAATGAGGTTCCCATAGTGTAGATAAATTGGCATATTTGCCCTCTAAGCCTCACATTGCTTCAGGGCCCCAGCGATGTCAAAATCTGGCCCGGCCTGTTACGTGCTTTCTTATGACCTTAAACTCAGCTGATATATTAATTGTTTTTGTTACCCTTCTATCTGGCAACAAAACTGACACATTTTTTACAAGGAGTCATTTTTGCATAGACCACAATACCTGCGGTCATAATGCAAACATTATCATAGTTATGTTTTTTGTTTGCATTATGACTGCAGGTATTGTGGTCTATGCAAACATGACCCCTTGTAAAAAAGGTGTCAGTTTTGTTGCCAGATAAAATGGTAAAAAAACAATTATCATATTGTTTACTGGCAAATGAGATTCCAATGGTGTAAACAGCTGATATCGTCATCTAGGCAACACGAACCACGTGGAACACCGCTTGTAGTCCGCGTTCCTTCAACGGAGTAGCAAATCTCCACAAGCTCTCTCCTGAAGTCCTCTCGTTGTGGCTAGCAGACCTCGATATTGGCACCCAGCTCCTGACCAATACCGCATTGTGATATCATAGAATGCACACAACGTGGGTTAAGCAATGACTCTTCTTGGTTCTTTCGGTAAAGTCACGTAGAAGGGAAGTAATAAAATAATAAAAATAAAACATAATAAAATAAATAAATATATTTTATCATGTTTCATTTTTATTATTAATAAAACATAATAAAATAAAGAAATATATTTTATTATGTTAAATTTTTATTATTTTATTACTTCCCTTCTACGTGACTTTACCGAAAGAACCAAGAAGATGAATCCCTGCAGTCACGAAAGCTTTAAATCGAAATTTAAGCAATGACTTTCAAAATAACACACACGCGCGGCGCACACGTGATGCGTACATTGTTTAATGCTTCACTTCGTGTCTAAACAATAACATACAACACGTAGTAAAATTCAACAGCTATATATTGTGTGTGTGAGCAAAATGAACAGATGTATTGGTTAGTCGGTGGAGCATTGAGGCTTTCAAGGGCTGCCCAGCCCCATCATCTCTTCGTGGTGGATAAAACGAGCACCATCCGATGAGGCCGTACCAATTGGCCGGAGGTCAAAAGTGGCGACCCTATTCGGATGGCCCCTGCCATAGGAACGTGGAGTTTCCACCGCTGGCTCAGAACTGGCAACCGAAGAGGGAGTGCCGTTGAATGCTCGTTTAGGTATTGGGGCTGCTTTCACGACGCATTCGTGGAGGTAACCTTTTTACAGTGTGCTTGCCGATTGTTTATTAACCAAATGGGATGCTGCACGCATCACAGTATTTCGGCACCAAGACAGCATCTCACCGCGTCCACGTCCACCTTCTAGCATGCTCATCCACTGCGCCTCCGCTGTTCACTTCTCCAACCCACCACACATCAAGTTCTCACTTCTCCACTCCACCTTATCCGTCGACGGCCATACCGACCGCATCGTCGGATCTCGCAACAACAACAACCATCCCCCCACCATCACCCGCGGCCCTCTGTTATTGACGTCCACTCATCGCCACCGACGTCTTCCCACTGCACGTTCACAGCAACGTTCAGTCTGCACAGCTTGCAAGAGACACTTTAAGGGGTTTCGACCTTCTTTCCCCTGTTCGCCTGGCTTCCGAGCGAGCCACGGTCGCTCACGTAAGAGATTTATTTTGGGGTTAGATAGAAATATATAAATGTGTCGTTAAAACCCGCCACCACCCGACACAGCCAACTAGTAAGGGTTGTCACGTAAACAGAACGTGGCCAATTCGTCACTAGTACAGCACACCGGTGTGTTGGAGAGCCAAGCCACAACATTTTCAATCTGAATTTCGATTTAAAGCTTTCGTGACTGCAGGGATCCATATTCTTGGTTCTTTCGGTAAAGTCACGTAGAAGGGAAGTAATAAAATAATAAAAATTTAACATAATAAAATATATTTCTTTATTTTATTATGTTTTATTAATAATAAAAATGAAACATGATAAAATATATTTATTTATTTTATTATGTTTTATTTTTATTATTTTATTACTTCCCTTCTACGTGACTTTACCGAAAGAACCAAGAAGATTTTCAATCTGATTTGCGACGTTTCGCCAGTAATTACAACTAGCTTCATCAGGCGACGGACAGATGTATTATGGATGATATTGGTCGCGAAAGCCGACGTATTAAACTCACGGTCACTTACATCCGCAAATTGCATAATTGAGAATCGTTAAACGTCCATCACGTGTATAATATCGCCTCATCGGCAATTGTTGGTGAACTATTGGAGCCTCGCTGAGGAGTGATACCCTGATCGCACAACGGTTAACATGCATTTGAATAATAATAATGATAATAATAGGGGTTTTCCTCTTTTTACTGGCAACAAAACTGAAACCTTTTTACGATGATTCATGTCTGCATTAACCACAATACTTGCAGTCAAAATGCAAACAAAAAGCACACTACGATAATATATGCATTGTCCTTGAAACTGATTGGTCCACACCAAGGGACGGCTTTCTTTTGAGCCTCGACCCAATTGGTGCTCGAACAGAGGACGCCAACAGGCATGCAGCTCAAAGACAATGCACTATCAAAGTAATGAGGGCTTGGGGTGAGCATCTACATCATTAGACCTCTTTTGCCAGTACCAAAATATAATAATAAGGGTTTTCCCCCTTTTTTCTGGCAACAAAACTGAAAAAAGGGAAAAACCCTATTATTATATTTTGGTACTGGCAAAGGAGGTCTAATGATGCATTTGAATATTCAAGATTAAGTTAGACCCATGTGACGTACACTCTTTATAGACTTGGGCACACAAAAACAGCGAGAAACCTCCGATTAGCACGGTTGGCTACGGACGGTTGCGCGAGAGAAGTTCCACTAAATACGTACGGCACTTTGAGACATGCCTTGTAATGTGGGCACAGCTGTTGACGTGCCTTGCTATGTGGGCACAGCTGTTGACGTGCCTTGCTATGTGGGCACAGCTGTTGACGTGCCTTGCTGTGTGGGCACAGCTGATGGTGGGAGGGTTTCCAGTAAAGGGCGCGCTAGAGATGTTTTTTTGGTTCACCGAGGGAGCTCTCAAGCAGTGGAGGGAGCCGCTCTGAACCCGGTGTGCACGCACCCCGCTAGGGGGTACGAGGAGCCCTCTCTGGGGGGTGCGAGACATGGGCCAGAATTAGTTTCGGGCAAACAAAAAGAAACAACTCTGATGATGATAACACAATGCGCGGTTGTATTAACCAGGGTGGCCCGCAGGGCTCGAACGGAGAACCTCGGCGACGAGCGGCTAAAGGTCCGCATGACCGCTCGGCCACGCCGCCAAGGTGCTTCCAAAGGCTTCCTCCGTCCCACTCGAGAGACGTCGCGCACACCGATGTGAAAGTATTCGTCGCGCAATCCGTCAAACCAACATTACCGTCAATTTTTAACGCGTAGAATTTCGCGACCAATATCTTCCACAGAAGAGGATCTTTTTGGGTGAGATCGCGTAAATATAGTTGGTGGGGTCGAGAGGTGGCGAGGGCAGGGCGCAGCCCTGGAAGCGCTCGCTCATGCCACTGCTGGCGGAAGGGCCTTCCGCTAGAAGGCGCTCTAGAGAGAAAACCTCTCGAGGAGGTGTTTTTGCCTACTCTTCCAAAAGGCCAGATGTCCTGGAATAGTCGAAAGCACCCCTCCACTTTACTACACCATACGCGTAACTTGTCGATCTTCTGCGAGCTGTATTGTGGAGCTAAGCGCTTTGAAATCTTGATTGACAAACTCATTTCTCTAGAACTGCTTTTCGTGTTTAGTTTCCTGTCCCTTCCTCCGCACCTCTGATTAATGCGGTCGCCTATGTACGGTGCGAAAGAAGTTGAAAACACATACAGACATGCATTACGTTACGGACACATCTGCTGCTGGGGCGACAAAAAAAAAACACACACAAGCCGGGCAAAGCATTCCACGGAGGAGGCATACAAACCCGACGCGATCGATCCCATTTGTGGGGGGAGGGGGGGGTGACAGTCAACCCGGGGGGGGGGAGGGGCGGGGGCTTAAGAGTCTATTGCCCCATTCACGTAGGGGCCGTCACGCCGGTACAACGAACATTTGTTTTAATAGGGGGGAGGGGTGTGGAAGGGGGGGGGGTGGCAGCTACTTCTTGATGGCGGCGATGACCGAGTCCCAGTGGCTGCGGCGCGTGCTGAGCAGGCGTCGCTTGGCCAGGGAGTAGGAGGGGATGTCGTCCCCTTCGTCGCGCTCCGCCTCCGACACGATCTCCATCTTCTGCACGACGAGCTTGAGCAGCTCGTGCTGCCGCTGCAGAGCCAGCCGAGATGTCCTTGAGCCTGGAGACGACGCCGACGCACAGGACGCGAGGCGTTAAGGGGCTCTCCATAAATGACGACACGCGATTTTGGGCGATTTTTTAAGCCATCCCCCCCCCCCACCTTTGTCACACGGCGTTATAAAAAGTCAGACACCTCCACCTCGAATATGACGACACAAAGCTCCGCCTCCTTCCCCCCGAAAAAATAAAACATGCTTCAAATCGCTTTAAACTATTGTCATTGTAGTGCGTATTTAATGTGGCGCTGTACTCTGATGTTGTAGGAGAAAACATTTATTTAAAAAAGAATAGCAATAAATGAAATTTTTTTTTTTTACTTTTTTTACTTTTACCTACGTGACTTTACCGAAAAAACCCAAGAGTATGAATCCTTGCAGTCACGAAAGCTTCAAATCTAGAATTTATTAAAAATTCTATTTTTGTTAAGTAGAACGTGTTGTCTATATTCATTTAAACTTACGCATTGTGATGTGACGTCACATTTAAAAAAAACCTCCCCATCGTCACACATCGTCACACACCGTCACAAATGTCTGACCCCCCCCCCTCCCCCCAGGTGCGTGACGTCATTTATGGACGGCCCCTGACGTCATCGATCCATTGCTGTCCGTGGTTTCGGTGGCTCGTGGGGATGGTGTCAAATGAGCGACGCTGAACCACTGGCATTGGTTCTTTGCAAGTGATTTTTGTGAAACTCTTTTACATGTATTCTTGCTGGTTTCATTGTTTTTGTTTTGATGTTCGCGTCGCATTCAAACACATTTTCGTGCCGCGCGTAAATTCCACGTCAGTCTCTCTTGCGAGAAGCTTCCGTGTCCATGGGCTCTCACGTGGAGACAAATGGTCAAGCACATGCGTCTATTTGTGTGCACGCGGATAAAATATCTATTCATCTTGCTCAGTGCATTTATTTAGATGAAGAATGCGTCCCAGTAATGGGGATTGAATACATATGACAGCAGAAATAATGCACATGCTCCCGTGTGCAACTCACACCTGTATCATTCTTACCCAAGTAAAACTCACCTCTACTAATCCTTCTATGTGTTCTAGATTTGATGCTTTCGTGACTACAAGGATTCATACTCTTAGGTTGTTTCGGTAAAGTCACGTAGGTAAAAATATCTCACACCTGTATAACCTTTAACTCAAAAACTCTCACCTGTACACCGTTTCCACACGTATCTCACACCTGTATAACCCTTACATATGCAACTCTCACTTGTAGAATGCTTCCACGTGCGTCTCACACCTGCAAAATCCTTACCTAAGTAACTCATCCTGTACAATGCTCCCACGTGTCCCTCTCACCTACGGAGCCCCTCGGGTGTACACTCTCAGGTGTACGACTCAACATGCCACACACCTGTACTTCTGCTTCTGCATCTCCATCTCCAGCTGCTGGTAGGGGACGTTCTCATTTCCCTGGCGAGTCCATGTTGCGGTTGCCAAACGAGAAGATGCTCTGTGGGGAGGCACGGGCAGCGTGAGTCTCAACCCGAGCGTGGCACGTGCAGCTGCAGCTAGAGCAGCAAGGTCAAGCGTCAAACCCCACCGGCCTCCAGCTCAGAGCCGTCAGAAACACTGATGCAAGAGAATGTTGTGTTTACTGTACGTTGAACTTCTTTGCACACCGTACCTAGCCGACCGTGCTAATCGGAGGTGCGTGGGAAGGACAACAAACTAAACGCACAAATGTGTTCTAACGAAATGAGTTTTAAATCTAGATGATTTAAAAGTGCATAGCTCCAGCGGCTTCCTAATATCGGAAGGAAAAGCGAGCGTTCCAGACGGCCGCAGAAGCGCATGTGAAAGCGCGCGATGCGGTGACCGCCGTCTTTGTCAGATGGCCCAGCCAGAAGCTGCTGCCGCGAGGATGACCAGAGATTTATGCTTCTTGAAAAGTTCAGCAACATATTGTGATTCGTTTGCGGTGAGCACTTTGTGTGTAACGAGTGCGACCTCATAATGTATTCGTTCGGTAACCGGAAGCCCACGCAGTTCAGTGACCACCGGACGGACCACGGTCGAACCTGAAAACTCCTGCGTGTACCTTTGAGTGAAACACCGACATTCACGAGCCTCTTGCCAGTCAAGAAAGATGAAAGCCAGAGACTGGTCGAGAAGCGTAATGCACGGCGGTGCAATGGCCTCACAAAGACAACTCTTCCCATAATGCAATGCGCAAGCAAGATTTTATAATTTTAACTTTTACTATCATCGAGTTCATTTAGGGGTAATACTCTTTGATTATTGAAACGCGTGTTACTCAACAGCTACCACACTGTGACTATTCATATGGCAATTAAAAAACGGTGTAAAATGCATTCTCCAACTCTTATAATCTATTCCATCTCTTAGCCTCTATAGTCACGTGCTGCGCAGAAGAGCCACTGCCCAAAACGTTGCCTCTTACAAATGTTACCTGCTCATGCCACAAAGTGCGATTGGCGAATGCGCCTGTGTCGGCATGCTCCCACGCAAGCGAGCGCACGTTGGCGCGTTGGCGCTACGAACCCGGCGACACGAGTTCGATTCCCGCTCGCGGCCAACACCAGTGACGATGATTTTAAACTGGTCCTGGGCCTCCCCTAGGTCGACTCAGCCTCAATTTGTGTGATGTTCAAAAACATTGCTGCTAGGGAGACGAAAGCGGCCGTGCGTGGTTGCTGGCCACACACCCCCTCGTGTGACATTCCAGCCTTCATAGCTGCTCGCTAGCAGTGCTTGCCCCTACAGTCTGTTAAGGCTACATGGCGGGGGGCGGGGGGGGACCTTTATGCGTGTGCATGCGCGTGCGTTCGCGCGTGTGCGTACGTACAACCAGCATGGATCTGCGACACTTGTTTGGGTAGACGGTGATGGACACCTGGTCCACGCACTGCAGCAGCCACGACGGCAGCTTCTTCTCCAGCTCCGTGTGCAGCTCCACCTGCCCAACGAGGGGGTCAAGCACGGGGAGGGGGGGGGGGAGTGGGGGGGGTCAAACGACCCGTAGCCTCGTCGACGAAAATCGACTGTCCAGGCACTGCGCTACGCGCATCGAATTTTTTTTCGAGGGATGATCAACGCGACGAATGACGTGGGGGGCAATCTTAACCTCTTCTCGTCCGACCACCAAAGTAAAATGTTCATCCGGTGACCGAGTGCTGTCTCAGCAGTGGGCAGAGCAAGAGGCGTCGCATTGTCGGCCTCTCAGTCGCAGCAGCAGCAGCAGCAGCTGTCTGCTTTTTGACATTTGGGGCAGGTTGGATCTGGCCCTGCCGACTCGGGTGCGAAAGTCGGTTCAGAGTTTTCCATGCGCAGTAATCAAGTACGAAACTTAACTTTTTATTTCACCAGGTGAGGCCCACTGAGCTATAAAGCTATTGTTCAGAAGCGACCTGGCCACAACTGATAGCCCAACGAAGTGGCTTATGATCGCATGGAGATTTATAGCAGCCAAATACACCGAAACGCATGTTTCTAAATGGGCAGAGAAAACCGGAGATCCCAGAGACAAATCAACACGAGCACGTTTCGAGTATTTGGTTGCTAGAAATTTCCACATGATAAGCAACTTCGTTGAGCCATCATTTGCGACTAGGCCGCTTCTGAAATAGAGATACACAGCTCAGTGGGCCTTACCTGGTGAAATGAAAACGGTAAAATAAATTGTAAAATGCGTGTCGTAAACCCTTCACCACCCGACAGAGTGAGATTGCTCTCCAACACCACACCAGTGGTGCTGCTGCAGCAGTCGTAAATTGGCCTCGTTGGTTCACGTGGCAAGCTAAAGAATTGGCCGTGTCGGTTGGAGGAGGGTTTCACGGCACACATTTTGCTTCTGACACAATCTGACCTAAAAAATAAATCACGAATCATGATGTATAACTATCTTCTTGGTTCTTTCGGTAAAGTCACGTAGAAGGGAAATAATTAAATAATACAAAATTCTACATAATACAATTATTCTCAGTACCATGTGAGAATTATTTTATTATGTTTTATTTTTATTTTTTTATTATTTTCCTTCTACGTGACTTTACCGAAAGAACCGAGAAGATGAATCCCTGCTGTCACAAAAGCTTTAAATGGAAATTTAATGTATAACTTACTTTCGCACCGTACATAAGCCAACCGAGCTAGTATCGATCGCGAAAGACTGTGTTAAATTTCGTTAATGCATATCTTATGATGAATAAACGACCGCAGTATTAACCGGGGCGGCTGTCGGATTCGAACCGCGAGCCTCTAATAGGCGATGCGCACGCTACCGCTGAGCCGCGTCACCGCCCCCCAGGATCTTATTTGGACCTCGGTGTGACGCTTAGATACAGCCCCTGTGTGTGTGCGTGTGTCCTCACCTGCATGGCAATCCTCTTTAGGCACGCGTTACGCTGAACCTCCGCTATGTCACCGACCGCCAGACCAATCTGGCCATGGCAAAAACAAACAAAAGTGCGTTTAACCGGAAGGCAGGCGAAGGTTACCAACGCTTTGGCTTGCAGAGCCACTGATCTGCAAAAAAAACCCAATCTGCTACAATACACATTCAATCATTCTTTCTAAATCAATATAATTTTAACACAGACGGACCCCTATTAACCTGTGACCAAATGTTGGTCAGATATCAGGAACTAAGCAGGGTTGAGCCTGCATCGTGCTCAGATGGGCGAGTACCTTGCACCATATTCTTAGGTTTTGTCGGTAAAGTCACGTAGGTAAAAAAATTAAATTAATAAAAGTAAAATAAAATAAAAATCACGACGTTTCGGAGGCAACACAAGCTTCCGTCTTCAGGTGGAACCGTCACAGCCCGACAGCTGTATCAAGTAAATGAGAGATTACAGGAGATACCACTCCGTATATATAATGGTTGAGGGGGGTGGGAAGGGCCAGGAATGGCCCATCCGAAACGTCGTGATTTTTATTTTATTTTACTTTTATTAATTTTAAATTTTTACCTACGTGACTTTACCGAAAAAACCTAAGAATATGAATCCTTGCAGTCACGAAAGCTTCAAATCTAGAATACCTTGCACCAATTTGCCACAGGATGCTTGTAGGCAGCCGAGGGCAGTGCCAGACAAATCCTCTTCCAGCGGGCTTCTATGCCACCCCCCATCTTAGGCAAACGCACGCTGACCAGGATAAAATGTGGCCATACAACTCTCACGAGCTGCACGGCTGCAACATTTGACAAAGGGCCGGCTCTCACCATGAGGTTCATGAGCAGGATGGGCATGAGAATGAGAAAGACGACAAGCATCACGCAGGTGAGCTCGGGGAAGGGCAGCTCCTGATTGATGAACGGCGTCAGGAAGTTGTCCGTGTACTGCATCTCTCCCAGCATCATGACGAACGCTTGCATCAGGGACACGGACACTGTGTTGAACGCCACCTGTGTGCATGCGCACGCACACATAGACACTGCAGTCTTTCGTGAGAGTGTGTGCGTGTGAGAGAGTGAAGGACGCTACTGGGCAATCGGAGGCAGTCGCCTTCCAACGGCAACGGAGGGCAGAGGAGTGACACTCACAACAACGAGTGGTGCACCGTCCGGCTACAACACGGCAAGTTGGCATAGTAGGGGGCGCAAGTGGTGCATGGGCCATCTTCTCAGTCATTCAACCCATGGCACTTGGGTCTGTCCCGTGACCTCCTGGCAGTGAGCCTTCGACACTTCACGTGGTTTTAAAGAGCACATAGCCTGGCACAATCGCCGTGGCGACGTCACTGCCACTTAGCGGCGAATGGCGGTTGTTGTTGTTGTTTGTGCTGGCGACCCACCCTCTCGCGTGCTGTTCCGGCCTTCATAGACGCTGCTGCTACTCGCTAACAGGACTTGCCCCAAAAGTCTGTTGAGGTTACATGGGGGCATCTTTGTATTTGTCTTTGTGTTGTGTTTGAGTGTGTGTGTGTGATAGTGTGGGGAGTGGTTAGTGGTTAGTATGCTGCGCTTCGAACTCAGTGAGCCTGACTTCAATTCCCACTCACGGCCAACACCAGTGACGATTATCTGAACCAATGCTGAGCTTCCCCTAGGCAGACTCAGCCGTAAATTAGTACCTGGTTCCAGTGTGGAAATATCAGCATTGAGGAGACAAATGCAGCCGAGCGTGGTGTTGGTCACCCAGCGTCGTTGTTTTAAAATACATTGTACCGCGCTGTACGATAGCCGGCGCCAAACTGTGCCACACGCCATTCCGCATGGCCTCGTGGGAGTCCTCGGTTCCGATAAAGTTACTTAATATTTTTTCTCGGGGCTCTGTTCCGATGACGTACACGTACGTTCTGTTGTGTAAATATACGTCATTGGAACGGGAACGGCTTAAGAGCTATACGGGCGTTGGGGGGGGGGGGACGGGGATCTTTGTGTTTGCGAGCGTGCGAGGGTGCGAGACGGCGCGCGAGCGGCCGTGCGGCGCCGCGGGCTGCCCTCGCCTGGCGACTCATGAGCACGTAGAAGGAGAGGCCGAAGGCGAGCAGCAGGAAGAAGAAGATGGTGACGATGTGGCAGAGCGTGCGCAGGATCTCCAGCAGCATCACCACGTAGATGCCGGCGAACTCAAACCTGCGGACGCGACAACAACGGCACGAGCGTCGGCGGTTTACGCGCCAGTGCCGCCGGTTCACGGGGCTGGCCGGGGGGCTGGGAGGCCGAGAGGCGAGGGCTCGTTAGGGCAGGAGGGGGGGGTAAAACGTCAGACCGAAAGCCTGCGGTGGATCGGAAGACGCTCTGGGTCGTTGGACGCACATTTCCCAACCCCCCCCCCCTCGTCACACATCGTCACAAATGTCTGACCCCCCCCCAAGGTGCGTGACATCATTTATGGACGGCCCCAAACAATACAAACACACGGCGGCGTGCGGGCGAAGGTGGGGGTGGCATGGGCAGAGGAGGCGGTGGTGGTGGAGGTGGTGGAGGTCTGATGCGCTGGCTACCGTCGGAAGTAGAGGAGGAAGTTGACCCAGGCGAGGAACACGGCCACGGCACCTGCCGACCAGGTCCACTCCTCGGCGTAGCCCGTCATCATGGGCACGACGAACACGACGCATGAGCTGTACAGCACCCACTCGAGGAGGTTCGTGAGCTCCACAAAGTACTTACCCGCCTGCGACACGGCGATCGCGTCCCAGAGAAAATACGGGGAGCAGAGGGAGAGTGGGTGGGGGGGGGGGAGACGGCTCTGTGAGGTTCTCCTGCATTGAATAGTTGCAAGCGAGAGCTAAGGGGGCCGTCCATAAATGACGTCAAGCGATTGTGGACGATTTTTGACAACCCCCCTCTCTCGTCACACGACATCATCAAAAGTCAGACTCCCCCCCCCCCTCGAATATGATGTCACAAAGCTCTGCCCCCTCCCCAAAATCACATTTACATTTTGGAAATAAAACATGCTTCAAATCGGAAGGATTTGATAAACCATTTCGGGTCTTAATCGATTGTGTTCACGCTCACGGTGACTTTCAGACCTGCATTCCATTTTCTGCTCCCCCCTCCTCTTTTCCGAACATAGATGACTCGTCCATCTGACCAACTGCCAAATCGCTGTCCGTGGTGCTGACGTTAGAAAAACCGCCACTTTTTTCAAATTTCGTGCTGTGGATTTCACACCTGATGATGATTGCTTGTGTTGCAGTCGAAACGTCGTGAGAATTTGTATTTGCATTATTTATTATTTTCCTTCTACGTGACTTTAACCGAAAGAACCAAGAATATGCTTCAAATCGCTTTAAACTATTGTCATTGTAGTGCGTATTTAATGTGGCGCTGCACTCTGATGTTGTAGTAGTGTTGTTCTAACAATTAGTGTTGTTATAACAATTCTATATTCATTTACAAGTTGCGCATTTTGATGTGACGTCACATTTCTCACACCCCCTCCCCCCTCGTCACACATCGTCACAAATGTCTGACCCCCCACCCAGGTGCGTGACGTCATTTATGGCCGCCCCCCCCGCCTTCTCCAGTAAGCACGGCACGTTGGGTCTACGTCGGTCCAATGTAGGCCCAACGTTGGCGTGTTTGCTGGGGTCGTGCGGCGTCTCGGTCGCACTCGCGATAGACAAAGTGCCCGCAGCAAATGAACCTTTGCCGATCTCGTCAAGCAGCGTCAACCATCACGCGATCTCCGCTCATCCTCACAACAGCGGCTTCTGGCTACAGCCATCGATCAAAGACGGTGGTCAACGCACCGCGCGCTTTCAGATGCGCTTCTAAGGCCGTCTGGAACGCTCTTCCATCCGATATTAGGAAGACACTGGAGCTATTCACATTTAAATCTAGATTTAATATTAATTTGTTTGGAACTGCTTTTTGTGCTCAGTTTCTTGTCCTTCCCCCGCACCTCCAATTAGCACGGTTGGCTAGGTACGGTGCAAAAGAAATTCAACATTAAAAAATCCCCTGCTATAGCCCGTAATCGAGCACCTGCGAAGGCTGGCATGGCACACGAGGGGGTGGGTGGCCTAACACCACGCCCGGCCGCCTTTGTCTCCCTAGTGCCGATGTTCACACATCACAGAAGGAATTCATTTGAGGCCGAGTCGACCTAGGGGATGCCCAGGAACGGTTCAGATAATCGCCACTGGGTATTGGCCGTGAGCGGCAATCGGGTCGACGGGTCCATAGCGCAGCGTAGCGTTAACCACTGCACCATCGCTTGCTACAACATACACATTGCGATGGGGGGGGTCGGGGGGGGTTAATCTTTTATGGCACGGAAGTCTCACCAGTTGCACAATTTGTACGATCTCCTTGATCATGCCCAGCACGGATGTGCACAGCACCATGGTCATGGCGGTCAGGTTCATCTTGTTTCTCTGAAACGTCTTGAATGGCTGGAATGGGGCCAGAAGGGACGGAGGTACAGGAAGGTGAGACAGAAACAACGCACACACACACACACGGGGTGATGGCGGAGAGACACTGCGGAGACACGGAACTCAATGACACTTGAAATGCACAGCGAGACACTGGGGAGACACACGGAGACACTGATACACACAGGGAGACACTGGGGAGACACACTCAGACACTGATACACACAGGGAGACACTGGGGAGACACACTGAGACACTGATACACACAGAGAGACACTGGGGAGACAAACACACACAGGGAGATGCTGCAGAGACACACTGAGAAACTGAAATGCAATGGGAGACACTGGGGAGACACACTGAGACACTGATACACACAGAAAGACACTGGGGAGACAAACTGGGCCACTGACACACACAGGGAGACACTGGGGAGACACACTGAGACACTGACACAAACAGAGACACTGGAGAGACAAACACACACAGGGAGACGCTGCAGAGACACACTGAGAAACTGAAATGCAATGGGAGACACTGGGGAGACACACTGAGACACTGATACACACAGAGAGACACTGCAGAGACACACTGAGACACTGACACATACAGGGAGACGCTGCAGAGACACACTGAGAAACTGAAATGCAATGGGAGACACTGGGGAGACACACTGAGACACTGATACACACAGAGAGACACTGCAGAGACAAACTGGGCCACTGACACACACAGGGAGACACTGGGGAGACACACTGAGACACTGACACACACAGAGACACTGGGGAGACAAACACACACGGGGAGACACTGGGGAGACAAACACACACAGGGAGACGCTGCAGAGACACACTGAGACACTGAAATGCAATGGAAGACATACTGAGACACTGACACACACAGAGACACTGGGGAGACAAACACACACGGGGAGACACTGGGGAGACAAACACACACAGGGAGACGCTGCAGAGACACACTGAGACACTGAAATGCAATGGAAGACATACTGAGACACTGACACACACAGAGACACTGGGGAGACAAACACACACGGGGAGACACTGGGGAGACAAACACACACAGGGAGACGCTGCAGAGACACACTGAGACACTGAAATGCAATGGGAGACACTTGGAAAACACAAGAATCCACAAGTGAGTGCCTCCCATCTGAATCAACACGACCTGGATTCGAGACACAGTGGTGAGCTTCTGCGTTAACGCTGATACATTCACGCGTGCCTACACACGCACCGCACATACAAAAGCAGGCAAGGGCTCGCATCAAGTTTTTCCTTCACGTTCAGGGGAAATCTGTCCTCATATATTTGCATTTGGTTCTTTCGGTAAAGTCACGTTGAAGGGAAATAATAAAATAATAAAAATAAAACATAATAAAATACAATTCTCACGACGTTTCGGCCACAACGCAAGCAGCCGTCGTGAGAATTGTATTTTATTATGTTTTATTTTTATTATTTTCCTTCTACGTGACTTTACCGAAAGAACCAAGAAGATGAATCCCTGCAGTCACGAAAGCTTTAAATAGAAATGTCCTCATACATTTACATTTGGTTTTTGTTCCCAGGCTTTAACTTTTATCTGGATGGCCAATCCGATTTGTCGTTGTCCCGTTCTGTCCCACCCCTCCTGGACATCTATGAAAAAGAGCTTTACAGCTCATCAGATTCCTCCAGGATAAATTATTCTGATTGGCTCTCCACCTTCCAATCGGATTGCGCGCCCTTCACTGGCTCCGCCTGTGACAGCTCCTCGACCAATGAGAACTCACGAGTTGCGAGACGCGGTTGAGTCAAATTTTTTGTTTTATTTCTTAACAGGATTCGCCTCTTGGCGTCTCTCTGTGTGTGTGTGATCACGAGAAAATATGCACGCTTGCTGAAGGCGGTGGGGTGGGGGGGCCGATGGCTTCCTTGGGGACTGACCAAGAGAGAGGATGGAAAGAAAACGGTGATGCCAGACGGTGCTCAGCAAGGATGAGGTACGTGATGAAGTCAGAGACACAGAGGAACGAACTGCGCCTCGGACCCTTCTACAGACGGAACCCCGAATGATTGATTGAGTGAGCGAGTGAGGTGAAGTGAAGACCATGTTGTAATCGACGCCGCTCGTGTTGCCGTGTCCGAAGGTGCCATTGTCCTTGTCGTGGCCGTGGTGCATGTCGGCTGTGGAGGAGGCCACGAGGTAGGTGAGCGGCACGAGGCCCAGCATGTACACCAACAGGTTCAGCGAGTAGATCTTCATGCCGTACGAGAGCCTGCGCAGAAAAGACAGAGACACCCCCCCCCCCCGTTTAGGAGAGTGATATTAAAGAGTAGGGGCCGTCTATGAATGACGTCACGCACCTGGGGGGGGGAGGTGGGGTCAGACATTTGTGACGATGTGTGACGAGGGGGGGGGGGGGGTTTGAGAAATGTGACGTCACATCAAAATGCGCAACTTCAAATACATATAGACAACACGTTCCTACAACATCAGAGTGCAGCGCCACATTAAATACGCACTGCAATGACAATAGTTGAAAGCGATTTGAAGCATTTTTTATTTTTAAAATGGAAAAATGTTTGGGGGGGTGGTAGAGCTTTGTGACGTCATATTTGAGGGGGGGGGGGGGTCTGACTTTTTGTGACGAGGGGGGGGGGGGGTCAAAAATCTCGTGACGTCATTTATGGACGGCTCCGTAGCACCTATGAAGGCCGGCACTGTGGCGCACGAAAGGGGGTTGTGGGGGTGGCCAACGCCACGCCCGGCCGGCTTTGTCTCCCCAGCGCCGGCGTTTAACTACACACCACACCAGGTGCTCGTTTTAGGCCGAGTCAACCTAGAGGAAGACCCAGGACCGGTTCAGATAATCGCCACCGGCGTCGGCGGCCGTGAGCGGGAATCGAACTCGGGTCGTAGCACGGCGCATTAGCTGCTACACTGCCACTTGCCACGGATGTTGGCCACGGACACTCATTATCGATTCTAGATTTGAAGCTTTTGTGACTGCAAGGATTCATACTCTTAGGTTTTGTCGGTAAAGTCACGTAGGTACCGAAAAAAACCTAAGAATATGAATCCTTGCAGTCACGAAAGCTTCAAATCTAGAAAAAATTAATATTTTTATTTATATTATTTTTATTTAATTATTTTTCCCGACGTGACTTTACCAAAAAAACCTAAGAGTGACTCATCATCGAATGCGGGACTAATTCGGGTGATCATGTTCGGACTGCGATACGCCCACCACCGCGCGCCACTTACTCCGCAGACACGCGCACACGTGCAAGCCGTCCCACGCAACTTACATGAGCACGGACGGAAGGGAGATCACGATGAAGCTCAGTGACATGGTCTCTTAGTCGGCAAGCCTTCGATGAATTATTTCATGACAGCCGCAATATGTGCCACGCGATCAATGAGACCTTTATCGTAAAGTGGAGGCAACTCGTGACTTCGATACGTTGGCTTGGTGGAAGTCTTGGGTCTACAACCATCACGAACTATTTACCAGGGCGCAGGCAGCATTGCTGAATCTCGAGCACAAGTAAAATTAACCCGTAAAAACAAAGTTTTTCACTATAAATCCTTTATATGCGTGGCATCGGTTTTATTTTATTATTCATTTCTGTTTTTCTTGAGTAAGAGTTTCATTTTTATCACATTGGTATTTTAAATTAAATATTAAAAAAATTTTCCCCTAAAAAGTGGAACATTTTGGAAAAAAAATTTCACGAAAATAAATTGTCACGCACAACGAGTCTGTGTGCAAAACGTCAGCTCGATTGGATCACGGGAAGTGGGTTAAAAAAACGACCGAAAGATTTGCACGGTCGTAAGCGCGCAAGCAAGCAAGCAAGTGAACTTAATATAAAGGATTAAAAAAAAATCCAATTGCGGTCCTCTGAGGCTGTAGACGTCCCAGTTCCAAGGACCTCAACGTGCCGTTAGGTTTCTCTCTCGTGGCGCGAATACTTTTTTGTTTGAATTCGTGACTCACAAGACGTAACCGTTCACACGTCACCCCAGGCGTAAATGCGGTGTGAGCCCGCTCTTCCCAGGGGCGACAGGCAGAGAGAGAGAGAGCGAGAGAGGCGGAGAGAGAGACAGAAAGGAAATCGTTTGGGTGTTCGCACCATTTCATCTTGAGGAACTGCTCGCAGACGGGGTGAGTGAGGAGGTTGACGCGATTGAACCTCACCATGGCCTGCGGCGACAGCACGGGCATGGCAATTATACAGCCACGGCACGTGGGACAGTGGTGTCGCAGTGGAGACACGCGGGGGGGCTATAGAACGTCCGCTCTCTAAATGTTTATTCTGAAGAGCCACGCTGTGTCATACGACTCTTTTTCAGGAGGGTCCTTCATTGTTTTTTTATTTTAAGATGTTTACAGCCAATTGATGACGAGTGTTTATACAAACAGGAGAAAATCCGGAGCACCCAGAGGAAACCCACGCATTGCGCGAGGGGGCAACGCTCTATCCCCATGCAAATATATGTGTGTCAAACTTCTTTCGCGCCGTACATAGCCAACCACGCTACCTGGAGGCACGAGATTAGTCAACATGCCGTAGTGCCTTCTCCTGGTGGGCCAGAGTATGGCACCTCGAGTCCCACGAGGAGGGAGTTTCACAACATCCACCAACCCAGGCGTGCATAGCCACCACCGCCTATCCTAATATGTAGAGGACCGCAGAGCTTGGCCAACTGTTGGCTGTCATCGCCACTCCTCCGAGCAAGCGAGCACTGCGCGCTTGCGGTGCGTTACAGCGTCGCGAGATGCAATCGCCACGAACGACGCGATATCAAACTGCATCATAATAGTTATTGTTTAGTCGAAATTATTATTATTAATTCACGTCGCTAGATGACCCCGCCGCAACCGAAGAATAACAGCAAACAACGAACGGCACGTGACCGAGAAACAAACACAACTTACATTCATGGAAAAGAGCGGCTCGTACAGGTTATTCCCATTTTCCGCTTTAAGGGTGTCGCGTTTGTTAATTGGGCACTGCAGCAAATGGAAGTTGTAGGTTTGCTGCAACGAAAGAGAGGTTTGCACGATCGCGTTAATGCACAGTGGAAGACACCAGCCTCTGTCTTCATGTCATCCGTTATCTTATTGTGCTTTAATATTCGCGAAGTTCATTGCACGTTGGCAGATTCTAGATTTGAAGCTTTCGTGACTGCAAAAAAAAATTAATAAAAGTAAAATAAAAAAAATCACGACGTTTCGTTGTGTTGCCTCCGAAACGTCGTGATTTTTTATTTTACTTTTATTTTTTTACCTGTGACTTTACAGAAAAAAACCTAAGAGTACGTTGGCAGACTCAACCGCCCAGCAGTATGAATGAATAAGGGCGCGTGTCGCATGAAAGAGTAGGCCCATGACCCACCAGAGGGGCTCTCTGGATCGACTCTCTAGCGGAGGCCCTTCTGCCAGCAGTGGTCTAAGCGAGCAATTGCAGGGCTGCACCATAGCCTTTAACAAACTGCTTGGGCAAGTGCTGTTCGTGGGCACGGGAGTCAGCACCACACCTGGACAACTTTCTGTCTTACACACCGCACACCAAGTTGTCATTTGAGACTGAGTCGACCTAGGGGAGGCCCAGGACCGGTTCAGATAATCGTCACTGGTGTTGGCCGTGAGCGGGAATTGAACTCGGGTCATCAGGTTTGTAGCGCAGCGTGCTAACCGCTACACTACCGCTCCGCACCATGCGCGCACACACACAAAGATAAAGATCCCCCGTATAGCCTTAACAGACTGTAGGGGCAAGTGCTGTTAGCGAGCACCTATGAAGGCCGGAACGGTACACGAGGGGGTGGGTGGCCAGTACCACGCCCGACCGTCTTTGTCTCCCTAGTGGCAATGTTTACACACCGCACCAGGTACTCATTTGAGGCTGAGTCGACCTAGGGGAGGCCCGGGACCGGTTCAGATAATCGTCACCGGTGTTGACCATGAGCGGGAATTGAACTCGTGTCATCAGGTTTGTAGCGCAGCGTGCTAACCGCTACACTACCGCTCCGCACCATGCACACACACACACAGTGACACACACATGCGCACATTCACACACGTGTGGGAGAGTGCAACATCATTACCCAGTATTCCTTGCTGTTCCTGTCAACGCTCGACTCTTCTCTGCATCTGTCCAACACAACCTGCGTGTGTCCGCGTGTACACACAGACGCACATGTTCACACGTAAACACACGTGCTCATAACGCACACACACGTAAACATCCAGATAACATCAGCATGTGGACACAAAAAAGACAAAGATCCCCCCAATAGCCTACATGGGCTGTTGGGTTAAGTGCTGTTAGCGAGTACAGATGAAGGCTGGCACGACGCATGACGGGGTGGTATGGGTCTGAACCATGCACAGCCGCCTTTGTCTCCCCAGTCCTGATGTTCACACACAGCACTAGGTACTCATCTAAGGCTGAGTTGACCTAGGGGATGGCCCAGAAGCAGTTTAGATATTTACCACTGTAAAAAATAAATAACACCAAAATATGATAATTGTTTTTTTTTACCATTTTATCTGGCAACAAAACTGACACCTTATCTATAAGGTGTCATGTTTGCATAGACCACAATGCCTGCGGTCGGAATGCAAACAAAATACTCTAAACAAATAATATATTGTGCTCGACAGCACATGACGTTTCTTCGCGTGAACGACGCAAAGTGGTTCGCCCACGAGGGCTCGGTGGAGGCGAGGGCTGAGCGGCGACGGATAACGAGACAGGACTGACGGCGACGATGCTGTCAGCGACGCGAGCGTGGGGGTTGAGGCTACGTAAATCTGGTAGCGGTGTGTTGAAAATAAAGCGACGACATTCGCGAAACTACGCGAATCGGGGCATTGCTCTACTCGGTTTATGGCTTCTTCAGATGAGTCGACGTAGGGCAGGGGTGTCCAAACTTTTTTGCAAAGAGGGCCACATTTGATAAAGTGAAGATGCTCGGGGGCCAATAGTTCCTTCTGACATTTTTTTAACCACAAAAGTTACGTGAAAATACACACTGTGATAAAACAATTTCATTGTCACAATTACCTTCATTTTTCAAATGACAATGTAACCAACTATAAGCCACTCAGGCAGACGTGAACAACTCTAAAAACGCAATTCTGCCTTTCATTCAGTCAGGTAACATTGAACAAACTGTATAGAATACCTTAAATTTCCATGAGTTTTATGATGTATTTATTCTGACAGAGCTAGCGAGCCATAAATAACACATTATAAGACCGAAGCTGCGGACCGTATGAAATCTGCCCGCGGGCCGTGATTGGCCCGCGTGCCGGACTTTCAACATGCCTGACGTAGGGGGTGGAGAGTCATTCTCTCTGATAACGATGCAATGATCACGGCGACGCAGCGGGTTTGTGGTTTGGGGGACGGGTGGCGTGTGAGGGTAAAGCCCGAGAGGGAAGCCGGTTGCACCTTGCAGATGTCGGGCATATTGTTGATGAGCTGGAACATGGGGAAGCGCGTGGTGTCCTCCTTCTGGAAGTACGTCATCAACTCGTTGCACCTGGAACACGCGTTCACGGCACCGTTTCGATAAATACTGAACGGAATCGGAATCTTTATTGAGGCCGGTGGGATACGGTGAGCCGCAGATGGAGCGGGGGGGGGGGCATCAGCAGAGTTACACGAAGATAAAGACACGTGTGCCAGTCACCATCACCTTGCCCGTGTCTCTCCACCGCCAATGTCGATCACATCAGAAACATTTTAACTCGCAAAAGAAGACTCAGAGAGGACCTGTGTGGCGCTAAACTTTGGCCTTTTATTTATTTAGGTTGGTTATTTTTGGGGCAGCGTTATTGGCGAATGTGTTGACATGTTTAGTGATTTGTGCTTCGCCACCACTGACAACCCAGCATCACAATAAAACAATTGTTTTATTTGATTATAGGTGGAAAGGAGCCGATGAAAAAACCAGGTACGCTACCGATAGCTGCTCGTGTTGTGCTTGGTCCTCAGTAGCCAGTTCTGTAAATAATCTTAATTAGAATTTTCACTCAAGTTAATCGGTACAAGGGCAATACAAATACTTCAGGGACCACATTAATGTCGATTTAAATTTTCTCACTTTTCAAGTGTACGTCCCAACAGCCCACCATGGGACATGTGCTGTTGGCAAGCACTTGTCATACATTATTAACGCTTTATTAGCTTATTGATGCCCCGTCATTACCTGCAAACCTAGCATGGAAACTCGTGAGATCCGTCATTATCAACCACGACCAATCAATTGAGATTCATCATTTTTTTAATCGCACTGTCGAAACTTCCCGACTGTTGCCACGTGTTTCCCCGAGTTCGTAGGGTGGCACGCTAACCGCAGCGCCACCACCCCCCCTCCCCCGCTCTCTCACGAGCCCGTCGTACCTGTGGTGCGTGACCATGCTGAGCACCACGTCGGCGTGGCCGTTGAGGATGGCCTCGTTGAGGCAGGAGAAGCCCTCCGCGTTCAGCGTCAACTCCGCTCCCTCGTCCAGCAGCAAACGTGCAGTCGCCGCGTGGCCCTCGCGTCCGCAGAGGTGCAGCGCCGTGTGCTGGCGGGGGGCAAACACACACAAAGATAAAGACCACCCGTATAGCCTTAACATAGCGTTGGGGCAAGTGCTGTTAGATTGGAAAGTCATTTGTTTAGAACCGCTTGTTGTATTTCGTTTGTTGTCATTACCCTGCACTTCCGCTTAGCGCGATTGGCTATGTAAGGTGCGAACTAAGTTCAATATATGTAGGGGTGCCGCGGTGGTGAGATGTTAACTTCCTACTCTGGTATGCAGGAGGTCGTAGGTTTAATCCCGCACCTGACCTCTGTATATATATGTTCTCCCTGTGGTCGTGTAGATTTTTCTCGGGTGTCCTCCGGTTTTTCCCTCCACATTTAAAATCAACGCACATTTAGAATGATTTGTCTGCTTTAAATTCCCACACGGTAAGCCACTTCGTTGAGCTATCATTTGTGGCCAGGTCGCTTCTGAAAAAGAGCTACATAGCTCAGTGGGCCTTACCTGGTAAAATAGATATAGTTACAAAATTAATGATTTCACGCATAAGTCTCGCTCACCCCTCCTTCCTGTGTCTTGTTGAGCAGGTTGTGATGCGTCTCGAGCAGAAGCTTGATGGTCTGCGTGTAGCCACCCAAAGCTGCCCAGTGCAGGCTGGTGCGGCCCTGGTGGTCTCTACACAAAGACAAAGATCCCCCATATAGCCTTAACAGACTGTTAGGGCAAATGCTGTTAGCAAGTACCTATGAAGGCCTGCACGGCATACGAGGGGGAGGTTTGGCCGGCATCACGCCCCGGTCGCCTTTGTCTCCCCAGTGGCGATGTTTACACATCACACCCGGTAATAATTTGAGGCTGAGTCGACCTAGGGGAGGCCCCGGACCGGTTCAGATAATCGTCACTTGGGGTGGCCGTGAGCGGAAATCGAACTCGGGTCGTCGGATTCGTAGCGCAGGGCGCTAACCGTTGTACCACCGCTCTCCGTGCACACGCACGCACACGTGCACGCGACACCCAAAACACTGCATCACAATTTCCACGGACAGCTTCCATAAGCATCAAAAACAGCAGCCAACATTCGCTACTAAGTGGCGGTGACGTCACCACAGTGTTTGTGCCAGGCTAGGTGCATTCTGAAGCCACGTGAAGTGGCAAAAGTTCGCTTAGCAATCAACGCCACCACCATCGCCATTGTTTGGGGTTTTCGACAGCGTCTTTACTTAGATGCTATACAAATCCGATATGAATTGTATCAGCAGCAGTATCACCACCACTATATCATCATCGCCACCACGATTTATATTGCCTTGAACAGATATAGTTCATGCACAAATCTAATTAATTATAGCAGGGGTGCGGAACCTTTTCCTGAATCAGAGCATGTATAAGACCTTCACATACCGGCCGTATGAGACACCATTGCTTTGGCAGGAAACCACGCATTAACAACATATGTTCAAAAGCTTGAAGCAGAAACAATCCGTGTGTCGACGGAGTATGAAGGGGCCTTTGCAAACGGAGGACTCCACAATTGGCGCCAGGTCAGGAATATCGCCCCTCGAGCACCCGACGAGTGCGGACAGAGACGGTCCGCATCTCGAAGGCGAGCTTCGTAAGCCCCGGGGGGGGGGGGGGGGGCAGTCAACAGCTGACGTGGGGGCAGTCAACAGCTGACGTGGGGGCAGTCAACAGCTGACGTGGGAGCGTGGCGCCCTGAGCCTTCGAGGCGTCGGCCCCTCCCTGGGCGGCCACCGCAGCAGAGGTCGCAACCGGGTACCCGATACCCGTACCCTACCCGATACCCGGCTACCCGTACCCGGCCGGGTACAGGTACCCGTTTGCGACCCTGGTGCGGCCGGGTACGGGTACAGGTAGACCGTGAGTCACTGGTGAGTAACTGTCACTCATTTCTCACAATTCAAGTTCCTAGAATCAACCCACCCGCGCCTGCAGCATGGCTTCATCCCAGAGGTCGCAATCGGGTATCCGTTTGCGACCCTGGTGCGGCCGGGTAAGGAATCAAAACCCGTTTGCGACCTCTGCACCGCAGCCGTCCTCCGCTCACCGCAGCAGCAGCGCTCCCTTGCTGAGCAGCAGCTGCACGACGCGCGTGTGGCCGTTGGAGGCGGCGAGGTGGAGGGCCGTGAGGCCGTCCCCATCGCCCTCGTTCATCAGCTTGGAGCCGCGCGCCGTCTGCAGGAGCTGCGCGCACGAGTTGAGCCGCCCGTACCTGCGGGTTCGCTCGGCACAACGCTGCCCCCGTCAGTCTGCGACGGACAATGCTCACGATGCACGCGCCCGTCGTCAAGTTACGCGAACAAATAAACGAGTGATTTTCGTAATAAAAATTCAAATTTCTCATGCACATTGGATCCCAGTGCGCGATGCGTTGAAAGCAGGAAACAAAAACGGAACGAGGGCAAGCGACCAAACTAAAGAGGGGAGGCCACTTTAAAGAGATTGGTTTTCAAAGCAGACTTGAATATATCTACCTGCTCGGATTGCCATGATTTCAAGTGGCAAGGCGTTCCATAGCTTGGGTGCCACGCTAACAAAAGCCCGATCACCAAAAGAGCGCAACCTGTAGACCTGGGAGTGCTGAGCAGTTGGAGATCAGAAAATCTTAAGGACCTTGATGGAATATATAAATGTATTAGTTCACGCCTCATGATGACAGCATAAAACTGCGATGCAGTCAATGATTCCAATAAACTTTGGCAAAGCCTGAATGTAGACTCATAAAAACATTTGTACACGTGGCTATGATTCATATTCTACTCAGCTCATCGGCGAGCTAAAAGCACTGGCACGTTAAATTTCGATTTAAAGCTTTCGTGACTGCAGGGATTCATCTTCTTGGTTCTTTCGGTAAAGTCACGTAGAATGGAAATAATAAAATAATACAAATAAAACATAATAAAATAATTCTCACGACGTTTCGGCCACAACGCAAGCAGCCGTCCTCAGGTGGAGAACAGGTCTGTCGAGAAGACAGAGTCGAGAAGACAGAGTCTGAATTCAGACTGTCTTCTCACCAGACCTGTTCTACACCTGAGGACGGCTGCTTGCGTTGTGGCCGAAACGTCGTGAGAATTATTTTATTATGTTTTATTTGTATTATTTTATTATTTCCATTCTACGTGACTTTACCGAAAGAACCAAGAAGATGAACACTGGCGCGTTGTTAAACGCTTGCACAGCGGACAACTGCATTTGTTTGCCTATATCGGGAGGTGGAGGGTTTTCGACACAAATTCGGTGAGATCCCAACGTGGCTTAACATAAAACGTCTGTCGCGAATTGTAATTAGTTTGCGTTTTTAAATACAGATTTTGTCAGAAAAAAACCTAATGAAACGAGCAACAGCAATCATGCTGTAATGATATTTTGCAAAACGAACGATACCAATCGACAGTTGTGGACGTGAAATCGCACGGTATGTCGTAGCGGGGGACCCTGCCGTGGTGTCGTGGTTGTCGCACCGGGTCGGTCCCCCATCGCGGCGGCTGAAACAAGCATCCCCAGGTCCCCCACCAGAAGTATAAATGTGTACACCACGGTAAGTCGGCCGGCAGCTCGCTTGCGGCGGGGTAAAGTACTATGTGGGTAATCCCACCTCTGCAAAAGTGTCTGGCCAGCGTGAAAGAGCAGGCCAAAATTCCTCGCAGAGGACCTCTTTGGAGCTTGCACCAGTCGAAGCCCTTCAAGCCCTTATACCAGCGGCATGAGCAAGCAATTGCAGGGCTGCACCCTTACCTCTTGTGAGTGATGCCTGTCTTGCACACGTCCCACGTGTACGGACACTCCAACTCATGGAGTTGGCCAAACGTCCAAATTTAGAACCACAAGGCTTGGCCAATTGTTGACGCCGTTTCTGGACGCCTTCCCGCTAATTATCATTATGATCATCATATCTTGCTATCGCCATATTGCGGCAACCGTATGTATGTATGTTAAACTTCTTTTGTACCGTACGAAGCCAACCGTACTAATCGGAGGTGCTGGGGAAGGACAACAAACGAAAGACAAGCAGTTCTAAACATTTTAATCTAGACGACTTAATAGTGCATAGCTCCATTGGACACCTATTACACTGGTCAACACACTTTTTCTGGCAAAAGGTATCCCAACGGTTTTAAGGTAATTTTGGGGTGCTGATTCCAAATCTGGCATGAGTTTTTGTCCATCACATCAGGTCTTTGAGATATCAAATATTGCATTTTCAATAAAAACTGCAGAAGAAAAATATTAAATAAATGTGGATATCTACATAAAATTATATTATAAACACACTATCCTAAAATACAGCATCATATTTTATCACTAAAGCAGTCACTGACTCACAACAGCTTGCAATTATAAGTGACAGAGTTAATTTCGGGTAAAATCAATGAAAATTGGGTATGCCGATAGCATAAAATTGATGTGATAGAGCAACTCTGATATCAGATTTGGAATCAGCGCCCTGAAATTAGTCTAAAACAGCTGCAAAAGTCCAGGCCAGAAAAAAACGGTTTTTTGTTTGTTGACCAGTGTTATTGGAAGCGAGAGCGTTCCAGACGGCCGCAGAAGCGCATCTGAAAGCGCGCGATGCGTTCACCGTCCCTGGCGAGCGCGCGCGCGCGCGTGCGTGCGTGTGCTGTGCTCACTCGGCAGCGAAGTGCAGTGGAGACTTGTTGGCCTTGCTCTTGAGGTGAATGCTGGCCTGCAGTGGCAGCACCCCGCCCAGCGCCTCGATTGTGCCATACTTCGAGGCGTAGTGGAGCGGCGTGCAGCCCTCCGTGTCCTTGTCTTCCAGCAGAGCCTTGATGTCCTCGCGCTGGGCATGGATGGGGGAGGGTGCACCCGAGTGGTCCAAGTTTCTCACCCGATATATTCTCCCCCCCCTCCGAGCACTACTCGACGTCACAAGTTTCCCGGTGACAATATTCTATAAATGAAACTATTTTTTAAAATTTATTTTACCAGGTAAGGCCCACGAAGCTACATAGTTTTTTTTTTCTTTAGAAGCGACCTGGTCAGTAATGATAGCACAATGAAGTGGCTTATCACGTGGACATTGACAGCAGCCAAACACTCTAAATGCATGTTTATAAATATGGAGGGGAAAAACAGGAGGACCCGGAGAAAAATTCACGTGACCACGGGGAGAATCTGCAAACTCCAAATATACAGGCGTCAAGAGTCGGGATCGAAACCGCGACCTCCTGTATACCAGGCGAGGTACTTAACATCTCACCACCGTGGCGGCTATACCTTTAGGTCACCCCCCACTGCACTCGTCCTCTGCAACATTTGACGTTTTTGTTTGATTGCTGCTTCTGCTGCTGCGGTGTTCACGCACCCGCCGGATCTCCATTGTTACAATAGCCGGGCAGCTGGCTAAACGGGGATCATCATCCGAGTAACAAATCAAATAAACTTTCACTGAAAAATCCTGAAAACTTAAACAAGGCGTCAAAAACATCCGTTCGGAACAAACGAGACTCCGATTGTCAACTTTTGTATCCCACGACTTTTGAGTTGGTGAAATAATGGGTGATGATGAATGATGTGTTTATTTATTAAAATAATTGTCAAACATCTTACATAGGACCTGGAAATCAAACCTGTGTACACAGCGCCGTGATGCCTCTTGACATTCGCATTGCATAGCGGCTCTTGAAGTATTGAGGGTTTTGTCGACCGTATTCGAACAAATAAATGTCTCTTCCTGTTAATTTGGGTTGCTGAGCCCTGCCTTAACCTCATACGTCTACCTCCAAAGAATATGTTCTTAAACAGAAGATGTTAGTGCCACATTCGCCACTGCGATTTGAAACTATGAAATTTACTCACGGTATAAAAAAATTCAATTATAAAGTGAAATGTAATCCAGGGATTGTATTGTCTTGATATGGTCTTGGATTGTTATTGTTGTTTTGCTGCCTTGCCCAAGCTTACATTTATCTTGACAAATCCGCATAAACGTATATTCCCGTGCAATTTGTACTTGCATGCTATATCTATATATATTGTATAGACTTGCTTAACCTGTCTCTCTCCTACTCTTGTCTCATCTCTTGTATTGTTTGTTGTAACTTGTTAACATACCCCTACTGCACATCTGTGAATAAAAGAGCTTCACAACTAATCAGATCCCTCCTCCATCTCAAAGTAGAGATTCTGATTCTGTATGTGGCGCGGATCTGGTGGGCCACCCCGGTTAATTCTGTGGGTGGATTCACCGTGAGGTGGGCGACGTCTGCTTCACAGCGGATGTTATCGATCCCCCCCCCCCCTTCCCCCGAAGTTCGGCACGAGTGGGCTTCTGTGTGCCAGCATCACGGCCCGAATTGTGCAAGTTGCTCAATTGGGAATCACGCTTGTGGGGATGAATGGTGTGAAAAAGTGACCCGATTAAGGAGTTTTAATCGGAGACACCACCTATTGCCATACTCTTAGTTCTTTCGGTAAAGTCACGTAGGTAAAAAATGAAATTATTTTAATTTATTTGTATTAATTTTAATTTCACTTTTTACCTACGTGACTTTACCAAAAGAACTAAGAGTATGAATAATTGCAGTCACAAAAGCTTCAAATCTAGAACCACCTATTGCCACCACTTGCTACGAGAGTTCCGCACGACGTTTTCTTCTCCCGACGTGACGCCGATTGCTCCACCGTGTATAACAGCAGAACTCGGAGCGAAGGAACGTCGCAGCAGACGTTGACCGCTCGCTGCCCATCCCTGCGCGCTTCTTGAAACCGAGCAAATAAAAAAAAACGTCGCACGGTAAGCCCAAGCGCCTCACCTGAAAGATGTCCTTTCCCAAAGTTCCCCAGCCACCCGCCTTGCGAGACCGCCAGGTGCAGGAAGTTTCGCCCCTTGATGTCCTGGATGCTCACGTTGGCTCCTGCGTCAACGCCACACGCAGGGCGACGGCACGCGCGTTCGCCGGTCGTGATTAACGCAGCGGAGCCTTTGATTTTAAACACTTGGAGGCAGTTTAACACGTTCTTATTCTAGATTTGAAGCTTTCGTGACTGCAACGATTCATATTCTTAGGTTTTTTCGGTAAAGTCACGTAGGTAAAAAATTAAAATTAAAATTAATAAGAGTAAAATCAAATCAAAATAAAATAAAAATCACGACGTTTCGGAGGCAACACAAGCTTCCGTCTTCAGGTGGAACCGTCACAGCACGCTTGCTGTATCAAGTAAATGAGAGATTCCAAGAGATACTACCCCGTATATATATACTGGTTGAGGGGGGGGGGGTGGGCCAGGACAGGCCCCCTTTAACACGTAGGCTTTCGCGACCAATATCATCCATAACAAATTATTTTTTGGGGGTTAGATGGTGTAAATATATTAATGTGTCGTTAAAACCCGCCACCACCCGGCGCAGCCAATTAGTAAGGTTCCTTACGTAAAACAGAACGTGCCAATTCCTTACCAGTACAGCACACCGGTGTGTTAGAGAGCAAATCCACAACATTTACAATCTGAGTACGACGTTTCGCCAGTAATTACAACTAGTATGACACGCATCGTGACGGGTACTGCAAGATCCGACCATGTCCATCCAGTGCTTGCCAAGCTGCATTGACTTTTCGTTGCCGAACAAATGCATTATAAGGTCGCACTGACTACACACAAAGTGCTTGCCATACATCGACCACAATACCTTGCTGAGGAGCATGAACCATCACGCGAACTCCGGTCATCCTCGCAGAGGCTTTTGGCTGGCCATCGAACAAAGACGGGCACTGCGTCGGCCTGAGAACGATTGTTTAAGGCCGCTTCATAACTTACAATTTGTATTATTGTCGCTCGAATTCAGATGCACTTTTGGGGTCGTCTGAACCATTCGCTTTTATATAATCTAGTATGAAAACGTATTTCTATAGAACTGCTTCTTGTGTTTAGATTGTAGTCCTTCCCCCACCTCCGATTAGCACGGTTGGCTACGTACGGTGCGAAAAGAAGTTCAACATACGTATATACAAATGCGAGCCACAAGACCGAGGAGACTTTAAACACGACAGGGTCACGTGGTGGTCCGGCAGTCGGCCGCCGGTTTTCCGATCAGCCCGGCGTAGATGACGCGACGGGCTCAGCCCGGGCGCCACCGGGGAACTGCCACCGCTCACCCAGGGAGAGCAGCGTCGTGACGGTCCTCCAGGCTCCACGCAGAGTCGCCAGGAGGCACGGAGAGCGCTGCTCCCTGTCCAGGCTGTCCAGCTCGGCGCCCTGTCGACAACCCGAGTGCCTGCTGAGACTTGCGTTCCGCGACGGAGCTTCTCGTTTCCCGATAGAGCCTCCTGTTCCATGATGGAACCTCCCGTTCCATGATGGAACCTCCCGTTCCATGACGGAGCCTTCCGTTCCATGATAGAACCTCCTGTTCCATGATGGAACCTCCCGTTCCATGACAGAACCTCCCGTTCCATGATGGACCCTCCCGTTCCATCATAGAGCCCCCCGTTCCATGATAGAACCTCCCGTTCCATGATGGAGCCCCCCGTTCCATCATAGAACCTCCCGTTCCATCATGGAACCTCCTGTTCCATCATGGAACCTCCCGTTCCATGATAGACCCTCCTGTTCCATCATAGACCCTCCCGTTCCATGATGGAGCCCCCTGTTCCATGATAGAACCTCCCGTTTCATCATGGAACCTCCCGTACCATCATGGAACCTCCCGTTCCATGATAGACCCTCCCGTTCCATCATAGACCCTCCCGTTCCATGATGGAGCCTCCCGTTCCATGATAGAACCTCCCCCGTTCTATCATAGAACCTCCAGATACATAATAGAGACTCTCATTCAATGATAGAGCCAGCGATTACATTCCTTGTAATGTAACTAGTGCTGACCAAACATCCCAGTACCTGCAAATTACTCAATTGTGGTCAATGTACGCATAGTAACATTTACTATAGAGACTTGTCAGGACCCTCCCTTGAGACTCACTGAAGATCAACCACTGTGGGTAAAGACTGCAACCATGGCCACGTAACACCATCATCAGCATCAACTTTGGTTACGAAAGACAAAGGAAAACAACAACATCAACAAAAGTGTGACTGCCCGAGCCTTTGAACGTGGCTTTGGTTGAGGGCTAAAGGCCCAAGAACTCACCTCCCGCACCAGGTACTCCACCAGCTCGTAGTGATCAAACATGGCCGCCCTGCAGTATAAACATCGCCACACACCGTGTGAGAATTAGAACACGCGGAAACGTGCACGTGCGTTGTGGTGAGCAGCAGCGTAGTGGTTAGCGCACTGCACCCTGAACCCGGTAACCCGAGTTCGACTCCCGCTCACGGCCAACACCAGTGACTTTAATCTGAACTGGTCCTGGGCCTCTCCTAGGTCGACTCGGCCTTAAATATGTACCTGGTGCGGTGTGTAAACATCGCCACTGGCGAGACAAAGGCGGCTGGGCGTGGTGCTGGCCATTCACCTCCTCGTGTGCTGTGCCGACCTTCATAGGTGCACGCTAACAGCACTTGCCCCAAAAGTCTGTTAAGGCGATATGAACTAAACTATTTTTATTTGACCAGGTAAGGCCCACTGAGCTATGTAGCTCTTTTTCAGAAGCAATCTGGCCACACATGACCGTTCAACCAAGCGGCTTACCACGCGGAAATGTATCGCAGCGTGTTTCTAAATATGGAGGGAAACAACCCGTGGACCCGGAGAAAAATCCACAAAATGCGGGATCCTCGGAGATTCCTTTCAGCGGAGAATCTGTCCTAAGAATTCCGCAAGTCAGGGCTAGCGACCGGCCAAGGTCAGTAGCCCCGGCACGTGGCCGACGCTGGGTCACGATGTGAATGCGGTGGCAGCACAAGAGGGGTGGAAGAGGAGGGGGAAGAACGTCAAAGCGAGGTGGCGTTACTTGTGCAGCGGCGTCTGCTCCTCGGCATCGCGCAGCTTGAGGCTCTCCCTCTGCGGGTCCTGCATGGAGAACATCAACTGGACCATGTCCATTGCTCCCTGGGCACACGCCAGGTGCACAGGCGTGGACTCATCGTTCTGGTGGGGGGGGGGGGGGGGCGAGGGTTGTGGAGGAGAGGGGGGGGGCAAGGATTACAATTATAAAATGTTAGGCCCCCACCGCTGAAGGGAAGTAATAAAATAATAAAAATAAAACATAATAAAATATAATGCTCACGACGTTTTGGCCACAACGCAAGCAGCCGTCCTCAGGTGAAGAACAGGGCTGTCGGAAAGACAGCGTCTGAATGCTGTCTTTCCGACAGACCTGTTCTTCACCTGATGACGGACGCTTGTGTTGCGCCCGAAACGTCGTGATTTATTATTTTATTTCTATTATTAAGTTTTTTTTTACCTACGTGCCTTTACCGAAAAAACCTAAGAGTATGAATCCTTGCAGTCACGAAAGCTTCAAATCGAGAATTAAAACCGCAGAATAAACATTGTAGGATGCAATTGTGACTCAGAATCGTGACAATTCGTACGCATACAAGGCTGGTGATAATTAATGTTCCTTATAATACTCTTAGGTTTTTTCGGTAAAGTCACGTAGGTAAAATAATAATAATAGAAATAAAATAATAAATCACGACGTTTCGGTCGGAGGCAACACAAGTCTCCGTCATCAGGTGGGATCGTCACAGCTAAATTTACTTATCAAGTGATACCTGATAACGGAGACTTGTGTTGTCTCCAAAACGTCGTGATTTATTATTTTATTTATATTATTTATTTTATTTTTTACCTACGTGACTTTACCGAAAAAAAACCCCAAGAGTATGAATCCTTGCAGTGACGAAAGCTTCAAATCTAGAATTCCTTATAATAATTGCAGTCATAGTGTGAAATGTGAGCCGCCTTCTCGTATTTCTCTTAAGACGCCCTGCTAAAGTACACTTTATCGGTGATTGTTACTCTCCTAACAGCGTTCCAATTCACGAATCCCACTTTAGTTTTTTCTTTAACAGTGTTAAAACACTTAATCTGCGTCACAGGTAGTCATTGAGTCCCGGTCATAAGCGTGTGTGTTCATGACTCGATTTTAATTATCTCCCCTTTCGAACAGAGCTGAAGTGGCCACTCCCAGTGTCAACTTACTAACAAGCAGCCATCGAAAGCTGCCCGGATGTCATAATTGTGTTTTCACGGTGTATTTTCCATTCAGTAAGTGCAGGCATCATTACATCTCGCTGACAGATGACCTTTGCTATGATCGTGCATTTAAACTGTTGCGATCATTTGCGTCTCATACCTAGCAGAAACAATCACGTAAGCACACAAACACACACCCAGAAGACAAATACAAAGCTCCCCCGTATAGCCTTTAGCATGCTGTTGGGCCAAGTGCTGTTTGCGAGCACCTATGAAGGCCGGTGCAACACACGAGGGGGTGGGTAGTGGCCAACGCCACGCCCGGCCGCCTTTGTCTCCCTAGTACTGATGTTTACGCACCGTAGCAAGTACTTATTTAAAGCTAAGTCGACCTAGGGGATGCCTATGACCTGTTCAGATATTCGCCACTGGGGTCGCTGGGTTCGTAGCGCGGCACGCTAACCACTGCGCCACCGCTCCCCCCACCACCACAAGGCCGTATTATCCAATAGGCATGGTAAGCACTGTGCCAAGGGCCAACGAAAACTAAAAGGCCTACGAAAAATAAATTGAACACGTGTTTTGTTTGTTTGTATATATGATGAACAAAACACTTAACCAAGGTAGCTTCTTGAATACTTATATTTACATGGGAGCTCGTTGTAATTTCTTCGCAGTGGTAACACGTCGTTGACTGGTTGTTGGGGCATATTACACCAAAAATAAAAGTCTAACATGTTTAAGCTGAAACGAAAGTAAAGTAATATGGCGCTCGCCATGTGGTCGTCCGGTCAGAACAGTGAATTTTTACCGATTAAAACGAACGGCATCCTTTTAAAGCTGCTCCGTCCGATATGATAATCATAGAATAACATTGTTGAAGACATTTCCCCGTTCATTTTTAAGTTTACCTTAGTTTTTCTCTCTCAATAATTTCACATAAAATCTGCTCATCTGCGGCCACACGGTGCGCTCCCATAGAATTATCGCAAATTCTAAACGACTAACGCATCGGCGGCAACGACTGTCCACCGGGCTGGAGGATGTACCGTGTGAAACAAGCGAGTGACAGCGGTGGGAGGAGTAAAACATGTGGCAGGAGGACCGATCGTTGAAATGTATCACTGGAGGTCTACGAAACACAATTACCTACGGACTAGAATAACCATAATCCCCCTTGTTGTCTTAGAACACGAGTTTGTTGGTTCTGCAGTGTGGCAAATTGGGGCAGCAATATTGGTTTCGAATGCCTTTGTGTTAAATTGACGAAAAGTGCTTCTGTTTCGTTCAAGCGACGGCTGTCATTGGCGAACTGCAAACACGTGTCGAGTGACACGTAGCCTCCATTGCACGTGTCACTGGCACGCGGCCACCGTGTGTACACTGCATACGGTCGAGCAGAGACGACAGTGGCTCTGTACAATAGGTAATAGTGAAATAACCAACCCCCCCCCCCACATCCAAAATAACATCGCTACAAATTTCGATTCGTGACTAATAAAATAATATAATTAAATTATATATAATAAAATATAATAATATAATATTTTATCATGTTTTATTTTTATTATTTTATTACTTCCCTTCTAAGTGACTTTACCGAAAGAACCAAGAAGAACATCGCTACAGTAACACAAACACTGCGTGAATACTCCGACGAAGCTTAATCAAGTAATTTGCCCTCGAGTACACACCCTCCCCTCTCCGCACAGAATCGCTATTCGGCGCGACTGCGTGGCCGCCTGTCACAAGCCTGAGCGTCGTCACTCGGAGCTATTACCACCCAACGCCCCCCGGGCACTGCTGGGTAACCAGCTCATCGGCTGGTTACCCGATTGCAACGGTGGCAGCGAAGACGGGGCGTACTTTTGCTCACGATTAGCACGGTTGGCCCAGTACGGTGTGAAAGAAATTCAAAATGCATACATACAGTAATCTCTTGGTTAACAGCGACATCGGTTAGCAGGTTAGAGTTTCGCCCCCCATAGGACCCCATGGTTTCGACCAACGTTAACATTTTGATTAACGCGACGTTTACGTTTTGCACGCGGGCGTCAATTTTGGCCAATTCCAGCGCTCGTTAAGTAGGGCCGAGCCGTTCCCTCAGCCAATCAGCGACGCCCATTAATGAGCGTTAAAGATTCGTTTTGTTTACGTTTCGTTTCCCGTTTCGGCAGTGGGGGAAACAGCTCTCTCGCATTCTCAGTGATTTTAATTAAAAAAAATGTTTTTACTTATAAGTGATTTGGAAGAACGGTCATTCCGGTTAACGGCAGTTTTCGCGGAACGAATTAAATAAGTAACATTTATAAATACTTTTTAAAAACACGCTTTAATGAAATGTACCCTACTCGTAATGGCAGAACTCCACGACTCCAGAAAGTGGCCCCGAAGCTTGCCATAACGTAAGTAGCCATGGTTATTTACAGCCAACGTCAGTTGAGCGTGGACAATTAGAGCCAAGCCGAAAAATAACGTGTAAAAATTAATGTTTAAAAATACTTTATTAAAAAAAAAATTGATAGAATATAGTATTGTCATCAGTATTACATAAGTATACCAAGTTTGCAGTCGATACCACATTGGGAAGTGAGTTAAAATTGAGTTACAAGATTTGAGGATACAACAATAACAACAACAGACAGAGTGAGTTAAATCAAAGCGTGTAAAAACGACGTTAACCGAGGCACGAGTGTACATGCGAGTGGCACCTGCTTGGCGTCGATACGGGCGCCCGACTGCAGGCAGATGCGGATAATGCCCAGGTGGCCGGCGTGCACCGCTATGTGGAGGGTGCTGTTCCGGCTCTTGTCCGCGTAGTTCAGGATGGTCTCCTTCGTGTAGCCCTTCTCCTCCGCTGGGGCGGGTTGCGTGCACACGTGGGTGGCACACTCGGAATCAGAATGTTTACTTTGACGGGAGGAATCCGACGAGCGAAGATGAGAACTTTACATTTCACAACCAGGGGTCGTGGTTGTAGGCGCATCAACGCGAGGATAAGGGAACCCGAGGTCACGGTGGTGAAGGTCGTGGTTCAAACTTGACTCACGTTCCTTCCGAGCTCAATTAAATCAGCACAGTTTACAGGTGGCTGGGTCGTCATCGTTTCGGCGGCTAGAGCGATGAGCCGGTGGCACTCAGAAATGGGCTAAACATCCATGTTTGAAGTGTGGTGAGTTAACTATTTTTAAAATTTTATTTGACCAGGTAAGGCCCACTGAGCTATGTTACTCTGTTTCAAAAGCGACCTGGCACAATTGATAGCTCAACAAAGTGGCTCATCACGTGGAAATGTATAGCTGCCAAATTGCTATAAACGCATGTTTCTAAATGTGGAGGGAAAACCCGAAGGACCAGGAAAAAAATCCACGCGACCACGGGCTGAGGGACATGCGAACTCGAAATATACAGCAGGCGTCAGGGTCGGCATCCAACCCAAGACCACCTGTACACCAGGTGAGGTAGTTAACATCTCGCCACCGCGATGCCCTTTGGTTTCAGAGTCGATGGCTTCAGAGTCGATGGTCTCATCCCGGTAAACAATGGATTACACAAAAAATACGAATCATATTTGTTAGCTTTTTTTCCAATTTGCAGAAATGTATGCTCCGATTGTCACGTGATGCGCATTTCTCTGTCGCAGGGTGTGTGGAGAAGTGCACGCCTGGTGTGAACGCGGGTCGCCAGGCTCATAGGATAGTGCGCAAACAAATGCGACACACGAAGGCAAAGATCCCCCGTATAGCCTTTAAAATTATTTTGGGGCAAGTGCTGTTAGCGAGGAGCACCTATGAAGGCTGGCAGGGCACAAGAGCGGGGTGTGCGGCCAATACCACTCCCGGCCATCTTCGTCTCCCCAGTGCTGTTTTTTTTTACACATCGCACCAGGTACTCATTTAAGGTTGAGGTGACCCAGGGGAGGGCCCGGGATCGGGTCAAAATTTTGCCACTACCGGGTTCTGAGCGCAGTGCCTATAACCACTACACCCTCGCGATTTTTGACGATTTTTGACCCCCCCCCCCCTCGTCACACGGCGTCACAAAAAGTCAGACGCCCCTCTCAAATATGACATCACAAAGCTCTGCCCCCCCCCCCCCCAAAAAAAATAAATGCTTCAAAACGCTTTAAACTATTGTCATTGTAGTGCGTATTTAATGTGGCGCTGCACTCTGATGTTGTCGGAGAAAACATTTATTAAAAGTCTATTTAATTAAGTAGAACGTGTTGTCTATATTCATTTAAAGTTGCGCATTTTGATGTGACGTCACATTTATCAAACCTCCCCCCCCTCCTCGTCACACATCGTCACAAATGTCTGACCCCCCCCCCCCCCCAGGTGCGTGACGTCATTAATGGACGGCCCCTTGTCTCTCTGTGTGTGTGTTTTTGTGAACGCGTGCTGCTACTAACCCTTGCGGAGCATGAACTGGAAGGACTTTGTGGAGCCGGCCATGGCCGCGATGTGGAGCGGGAAGAATCCCAGCTGACTCTTCTTGCACATGCGGGCGCCGTGGTCCATCTGGCGAGAGGGAGAGGGTTGATGGGAGGCGGGGAGTGGGGGGGTTTACAGCAAGGCCGTAATTATAATATATATAATAAAAATATGCTCAAAATGTCCCCCAACCAATATTTTGTTATAAAAAAAATTGCTATGCTATGGAAATAAATATAACTATTTGCTAAACCTTGGCCACAATATCTGCACTTGTCTTCATATAAATCATGCGAACTCGAAATATGCAGCAGGCGTCAGGGTCGGCATCCAACCCAAGACCACCTGTACACCAGGTGAGGTAGTTAACATCCCTCCCACCGCGGCGCCCTTTGGTCAACCTAGGGGATGCCGAGGACCGGTTCAGATAATCGTCACTTGGTGTTGGCCGTGAGCGTGCTAACCATAACACCACCGCTGTGACGCACACACACCCACACACACCCACACAAAGATCCCCCGTATAGCCATAACAGACTGTTGGGGCAAGTGCCTGTTCGCGAGCACCTATGAAGGCCGGCACGGCACACGAGGGGGTGGGTGGCCAACACCACGCCCGGCCGCCTTTGTCTCCCTAGTGGCGATGTTTACACATCGCACCAGGTACTCATTTGAGGCTGAGTAGACCTAGGGGAGGGCCCGGGACCGGTTCAGATAATCGTCACTGGTGTTGGCCCTGAGCGGGAATCGAACTCGGGTCGCCAGGTTCATAGCGCAGCACGCTAACCGCTACACTACCGCTCCCCACACATACACACAGCTTCTTTAGCACCCTTAACGCAACTGGCCGCGCTAATCCGGCCGTCCGCGTCGCCAACGCACGCACCAGCACGGCGATGCTCCTGGGGTGGTCGAAGGAGCAGGCCACCATGACGGGAGTCATCCCGTGCACGCCCTCGATGTCAACGTCCGTGCGCGCCTGCGACATCAGGGCCTGCCGGCACATGGGGGTGGGAGAGACATGCGTCCAGGCCCGCTCGTCACATCCCTCCACGGCGCGACGGTGTTCAGGTTAAATTTCGATTTAAAGCTTTCGTGACTGCAGGGATTCATCTTCTTGGTTCTTTCGGTATAGTCACGTAGAAGGGAAATAATGAAATAATAAAAATCAAACATAATAAAATAATTCTCACGACGTTTCGGCCACAACGCGGACGGCTGCTTGCGTTGTGGCCGAAACGTCGTGAGAATTATTTTATTATGTTTGATTTTTATTATTTGATTATTTCCATTCTACGTGACTTTACCGAAAGAACCAAGAAGGTGTTCAGGTTGTCACGGTCGCAGGCTACGCGATGGCAATCTGTGGGATTTTAGTTCAGGCGTAGTACTCTGCGGATTTCACTCGGTTATTCTCTGAACCTGGTTGATGGCAATTTATGGGATTTTTTTTAAATCCAGACTTTGTGCTCTGCAGTTTAACCAAAATTAAAAAACATTTTTGTTCTTAGTTAACAGGTAAGGCCCACTAAGCTATGCAGCTCTTTTTCAAAAACGACCTGGCCAACAAAATTATAGCTCAACGAAGTAGCTTATCACGTGGAAATTTATAGCAACCAAATAATGAAACGCATGTTTCTAAATGTGTAGGGAAAAATCGGAAGACCCGGAGTACAAATCCACGCAACCACGGGGAGAACATGCAATCTCCGACTCTACAGGCACCTGGCGTCGGGATCGAACCCACGACCTCCTGTATATCAGGCGAAGGTAGTTAACATCTCCCCAACGTGGCACCTACACCTGCTGCTACTGCTGGACCGCACGAAGAAGCCTCACACCTCTATGGTCTCGCTCAGGTCCAGCTCAGACGCTACGTGCAGTGGGGCCTTCTGCGCGAGATTCAGGACGTTGGGGTTCGCCCCAAGGACGAGCAGCAGTCGCACCGCGTCGGCTTGCCCGCTGCCGGCCGCCACGTGGAGCGGCGAGTCGCCCTCATCGTCCATGACGTTCAGCACTGCACGTGGAGGGTGGGAGGATATGCACAGAGACAGCTCCGTCTCGTTACACACGAGATGGGGCTGGTGGCCTCAACCCAGTGGGGTCGCTCCTTTCACAGAGGGCGCAGGCTGCGGTGTGGATGCCAATTATATTCGTTGCGCATGGCATTGTGTCGATGTCTGCCAGCCACGCAGTGGCGGATTATCCTAGTAGCAAAAGTAGCTACGTGCCCGGCACTTTTAACGGACCCGCGCTAAATCCTTTTAAGCTATAAATCCCGATTCAGTGATTCTGCACTTGCTCTATTACTATAGTACTATACCTGCCTTAAACTTTTATGAACAACTGTGTTTAAGGTTAGTGATTTGTCTTATTATCTGTCTGTATAGCAAAAGAAAAAATACAATTACTTTACTATGCGAGTAAAAAAGTAGTAATATGCACGGTTTATTTATTTATTTAGGACCCCTTTATAACATATGCTACAGGCCCCGCACTAACTCAATCCGGCACTGTAGCCGCGTATGTATGTTGAACTGCTTTCGCACCGTACGTAGCCAACCGTGCTAATCGGGTGGTACGGGGAGAAGAACAACGAATTAAACACAAAAATCAAATATCAAGGACATGGGTTTTCAATCTCGAGCCACGTGAGGGCGTTAGGAGGGCGAGAGAGAGAGATCGTGTAGCTTTGCTGTTCCTCCTCCACTGAAGGGGTGATGACTACGGTGGTTCGCTCGGTGATCGAATGTGCGCAGGGATTCGTCGGCGCCACGGTGCGCTGACAAAACGAATAAAAAATATGAAGAAAACAAATATCTTAGCTTATAAGAGGTGTGAAGATGTGGACCGTCTCTGTGTACTTTTGGTCTGTATCGGAGGCGGCAGAAGGCAGCAGTCAGTGGCTCTGGATGAAGAGGAAAGACCCCAGCTGGGCCCCAAAGTGAGAGGGCCAGGAGGTATGCAGTCAACAATGCTTGACTCAGGGAGGAGGACGCCCCTGCCATGCATAGTCCCATGGGATGTTGGCTATCAACAACAAGGCAACTCCTATGACTAATTGGGAATGGGACACAAGTGTAGGATTGATCACCCTGTCGCTGGCCGCCTTTGGGGAGGGTGTATAGTATGAAAGGCCGAAACACCCTAGGAACCAAAGGGTCACTACTGATGATGCGCTCCCCAAATTTCACCAGGCTCACTGTTCATGAACTCTTGGAAGTGCTTGCACAAAGGATAGTAACATCTCATCCTGTGTTCTTGGAATCTTAGTCACCTTAGGGCTTTGGGGGAGGGGAGGAGAGTGGGGTGTGAGTAATGTGGACCTGTGTTGGTCAGCGGTGAATAAGCACGTGGGCTGTAATCAAGCACTGCAGAGGTGAGGGGTGGTGGATAGTGGCATGAATGTTGCGAAACTCCCTTCCCGTCAGTGTCGATGAGTCATTCCCTATTCTTTGGTTCTTTCGGTAAAGTCAAGTAGATAGAAAATAATAAAATAATTATATTTTTTATAATAATAATTAAAACCAAAAACGACGACCGCTTGTGTTGCGATCGAAACGTCGTGAGTTTATTTTTATTTTATTTTATTATTTTTCTCTCTATGTGACGTTACCGAAAGAAACAAAGAATACGTCTTTCCGACAGACCTGTTCTTCACCTGAGGACGGCTGCTTGCGTTGTGGCCGAAACGTCGTGAGAATTGTATTATTTTATTATGTTTTATTTGTTATTATTTTATTATCTCCGTTCTACGTGACTTTACCGAAAGAACCAAGAAGATGAATCCCTGCAGTCACGAAAGCTTTAAATCGAAAGAATATGATTTCCTGCAGTCACGAAAGTTTTTAATCAAGAGTCATTCCCTAGTTTGCCAGGTGAAGGCGGCACAGCAAACATGTTTCGTCAGTATGGGATGCAGTGTTTCCCCCTCGCTCCAGGTTCCTCCTACACGTAAACACTCAATAATTTGCCGATACCATCTTCGTACATAGAGGACTGCAGAGCGTGGGCAACTGTTTGGTAGCGCCGGCTCATCACCGCTGCTGGCTGCCTGCTTGTCTGTCCTTCCTCCTCGCACCTGTGAGTCATTCTTAATTTCTCTTTGTACGACAGTGTTCTGTTCTTCACTCGATTTAAGAAGGGGGGGGGGTAGGGTTTGACAGCGCAATGGGGGGCGTTTTCCGATTTGTGTTATTTTTCGGGGAGCTACCAAGGGCCGCTAGTGACCCGCGGGCTTTGCAATGAAGAACACCGCTCGACAAGAACGAGCGGATCCCGGCGCGTCCTCTGGCGCGTGTTGTACGAATCGAAATCATCACCAATGACGAATTACACTGGTCAAAAAAAAAAAATTCTGGCCTGGACTTTTGCAGCTGTTTTAGACTAATTTCAGGGTGCTGATTCCAAATCTGATCTCAGATTTGCTCTATCACATCTCATTTTATGCTATCGGCATACCCCATTTTCATTGATTTTACCCGAAATTTACTCCGTCACTTATGATTGCAAGTTGTTGCGAGTCAGTGACTGCTTTAGTGTTAAAATATGGTGCTGTATTTTTAGGATAGTGTGTTTATAATATCATTTTATGTAGATATCCACATTTATTTAATATTTTTCTTCTGCAGTTTTTATTGAAAATGCAATATTTGATATCTCAAAAACCTGATGTCATAGACAAAAACTGATGCCAGATTTGGAATCAGCACCCCAAAATTACCTTAAAACCGTTGGAATACCTCATGCCAGAAAAAGTGTGTTGACCAGTGTTATTTGTACGATTTTTCGCGAGTGTTTTTGGCGCAGCGGCGCAAAATGCCTTCGATGCCCTCTCGCTTGACGATGAACTCGATCACGTCTCCGTGGCCGTGCGCGGCTGCCCGGTGCAGAGCCGTGCGTCCTTTGTGATCGCGGCGGCTCATTACGTCCGGCTGGGCGCTCAGCAACTCCTGCAGTCCCTTCACATCGTTGTGTTCCACCAACTGCAAAGGCCACAGACACAGACCACTCCACACCCAGCCAGCCAGCCAGCCCCCCGGTGTTGGGGCGAGTGTTTGTTAGAGAGTAGCACCGCATGAAGGCCTGGCGCGGCACCACACGAGGTGGTGGGTGGCCAGCACCAGGTCCGACTGCCTTCGTCTGCCGAGTGGAGAGGTTTATACACCGCACCAGTCACTCGTTTGAGGCCGAGTCGACCTAGGGGAGGCCCAAGACCGGTTCGAATCATCGTCACTGGCGGTGGTCGTGAGCGGGAATCGAACTCGGATGGCCGGGTTCGTAGCGCAGCGCGCTAACCATCATGCCACCGCTCCCCCACACGCACAATGCACGTATGTATACACCATGTACATGCCTGCTTGCACACAGGTGCATGTGTTCATACATGTGCACGTATGCACTCTTGGTCACACCCACCTGCGCACGCATGCACATGCACACTTGAGCACATACGCATACTGTCACACACACGTGTGGATGGTCACACACAAACACGTACACATGCATCTCCACGCACATGCACACGTAAGTACATGCATGCATGCTCCCATAGGCGAATGCAGTAATTATCGTGTGGATGTGGGGGGTTGGTAGTGGGCAAGGCATTTCGGAAAAGAAAAACGAGATAGTATCACTGATACATGGATTGACTTGCATATGGTACATATTACAGATGGTTTAACTTACAGATGGTACGAATTACAGATGGCACATTTAAAATGGACGAGAATGCAAGATGTAGTCTATAGTGCATTTAAAACGGACGAGAATGACGTTGTGTGTTGCATATTTTCCCGTGAAAACACAAAACCCGTTTTCAAATCACTTTTAAACTCTGCATATAAGACCGACAAACGCCTATATATGGCGCTGATAGCAGAGCTTGAATTAAACAGAATTTCCATTATCAACAGCAACAGTAGAACCATCATAAGCATCATAAAGAGGCAGTAGCATCAACATCGGCACCATCTGAAGTAGCCAATCAGAATCATCTTCAGCAAAACAAGAGAAGCTTTGCTACCGAAATATCTTCACCGTCACGGCCACTGTCATCATCATGGTAACCGTTGATGCATTGATCAGCATGCCATTGGAATGGTATGATGATCAATGAGCTAAGATTGACAATAATTCGACCGAACAATATTTAATCTATTTTTATTTTTTTACAATTAAATCCTGTTTTTGATCAAAGGTGTTTTAATTGCCGTGAGTGAATTCGCGCATAACTTTAAACAGAAAGAGCAACACACCCTTTTCCCCCCAAGACATCAATCTAGATATCAAAACGAAAAACAGGTGATAATAAGCTCAAATGAAATCTCCTCTGCATTCGTGAATAAGCATTGGAAAGCAAGCACGTTAATCCGTGGCAGAGATAACGCATATATTTAGTGGTGCACAAGATAGTATCACTTGTCAAGAAATGTCTTCTCCGTAAATAAACTCACCTTGTCTGGCATAACGGCGCTGTGTTTCGTGATGCAGCGAAATCTCAACGGCATGCTGCGGTCGTCCGGATTAGTTTTTTTTACCATCACCAAATGCTGTCCGTCGGCCGTGTGACAAGTTTTCAAAACGGTGGATTAAATGCAAAAGTGTGTATGTGTGACGGCATTATATATATGTCCTTTTTTGAGCCGATTTCATTATTTTCAAATACATCGAAGGATCGTGTTACTTTGACAGGTGGTCTCTCTCCACAGATATCTAAAAGCCAAACATAGTGCGTGCAAACATCCATGCCACGGAGAGGGGGGTGCGGATGGACAGTCAATAATGACCTCCGGCTAATGGGGGAGAACATTTCCTGTTGTCTTAATAGGAACACAACGCACGCTAACGCACTCTTCCTAATACAGTTTTTTTTGGGTTCGATCGCGTTATTTATAAATGTGTCGCAACCCTCCACCACCCGACACGGCCAATCAGTAAAAAAAATGTGTCACGTTAACAAAAGACAAATAGTTCACTACTTTAGCCCACCGGTGTGTTGAAGAGTGAATCCACAACATTTACAATTTGAGTAGTACGACGTTTCGGTCTTAAATAGTGCAGGATGACGTCATCATTGTTGAACCCCATCAGGATTCGAGATCAGAGGCGGAGCTGTAGGTGGGGGTCTATGCAATTCTGTAATAGATCAGTAATCAGCCACTTAGCATGTGACTCACCTGTTGTAAGGAATTGCAGTATGTGTTAAACTAACCCACTCTTGTGAGTGATAATCAGGGTGCTGCTGTTGTTTCAACTTTTATTTGATTTTACCCGGTAAGGCTCACTAAGCTATCGAGTTCTTTATCAGAAACGATAGCTCAACGATAAGTGGCTCACGGTGTGGAAAAAGTTAGCGGCCAAATACTCTAAAAGCGCGTTTATAAACGTGGAGGGGGAAAAAACGTAGGTCTTCGGGAAAAAATAATAATCTTCGCGAACCCGGGGGAGAACATGCGAACTCCAAATATACAGGCTTCGGGGTCGAGATCGAACCCACGACCTCCTGCATACCAGACGAGGTAGTTAACATCTCGCAAGGAAATTGTCTCCTTGTGGTTCATTCGTGCTGGAGGTGTAACAATTTCCTGCTCAGGCGTTCCTAAGTATGACATTACGATCCAATTTTCAGCTTGTGGGTGAGATCGGTTGGTATTAATAATGTCACCTCTGACGAGCACGCTTTGCCTACGTACGTTGCCATAGAAGTCCAACATACACACAAAGTTGAGTAGTTTTATATCTTCTAGATTTGAAGCTTTCGTGACTGCAAGGATTC